ACACTATTTCAATAATATGCTTCGAAACAAGCTGGCACTTATCAAGAAAATATGGGCCAGAGTGTTGCAAGCAAGTTTCTGGCCGGGAAAGGATGTGTCTATTCTGCACCCCACTTGAAAAAAAATAAATTGAGACTTTCTTCTCAAATGGCCCCCAGCCTGGCTACCAGGTTTTTTAGTTAAGAATTGTGAATCACTGCAGAAAAGAGCAGTTACAAACACTTTAAACCACAGCGTTAATAATAACATCTGCAATGTATTATGAGAAAAAGCTGCAGGTATGATTATGGAGGAGGAAGTTGGAAGAAAGAAAGAACCTCTATTCAAGCAGAGTCCATTCTTAAAACTTTAAAGAAGGTGTTAGGTTGCACAAGCTTTTGGTTCCCTCCCTAGGATGCAATTTAAAAAAAAAATGTCTCAGAGTGCTTTCACACTTCAGTGGCTCGGAGTTTGTAACTCTAAATGTTTCCCCCAGAGCAAGCAAAACTTTAATATTTTCAACTGCTGTTGTGTCTTTTCTGACCTTTTTAAACAGCTGGTTTACTTTTCAAATCCATATTAAAAATGGGATATCAACTCATTCACTCTCCCTACGCAAAGAGTCAGCATTGATGACTATTTCCTAAAAAAAAATAAAATAATAATAAGTAATAATAATAATAAATGTGCCTATTCCTGAATGTGGAAAGCTATTGCTTAGCGGGAGCATGACTGGGAATTTCCTCTCATCTGTCACTGACTTAAAGTTAGTTTAAGCAAGCCAGGTAATTTCTGGATTTTACAAGCAGCTTCAGTACAAAAGATCAATCATACCTAACAAGCAAAGGTTCCTAATATGCTTGAAATATACACTTTTTGTGCTCCTTTTTATCTGAGAATCAAGAACTAACAATTTGCAATTTAAAACATGCTTAGCTACTATGTTTATGATGCTTCTCGCGAACGTGCAGAAAATATGTATCAGCAAAGTGATCGATCAGTTCCCCAGGGTGCAGATCAGCCATAAAAGTAATGCAAAAATAATCAGTTCAAAGTATTTACAGCAGATGGAGCTATACATTTTGCTTTGATCATACGTTACCTCACATTCCAAGGTAAAGTGTGCAGTTTGGCAAGGACAGAGATCTACCAACAGTACAGTCTAACCAAGGAACAGACCTAGTCACCAGAAGGCATTTCATGAATCATTGTAATGAACTCTCCTGGAAATAAGCCTTGTAACATCAATACAAATAGCAACTCAAGAAAAGATTATTGCTGTATACTACCTGGCTATTGGTGTTTTAAGAGAAGGGCTCTCAGATTTTGTTGTATTTGCCCAGCAAGTGGAAGAAATTCATGCTCTTGCTAGGTTTTGTTTCTCTGTCAGGTACAATAAGCACTGAAGAGAGATCAGAGGTTTCAATATACAGTACCAACCAGAATATATGCCTAATGCCCACAGGTTATCCTTAGGAGGTTTGGGTTTTCTTACAACCACAATATGCATACTGGTTCCTTACATGAAATGAACCCTGTGCTAGTTTTATCGCTGTCATGATCCAGACAGATTGTTATATTTCCTATGCTGCATTTCCATCTTCTTTAAGCTACAAAAACTGTGTTTACACAGCAAGGATAAGGGAGACTGGCTTTGTAGTTGCTACCACAATGACTTTTCTCCAGTTCACTGAAAAAAATCAAATCCAACAATTCCTGTTCTCACTGTGTTAGAGTTTGAACAAAAGCTTGGATCCCATACTCTTGCAAAAACTTATTCTTCTCCCACTGGACCCAAATATCCCAAATTCCCAATAGCATTACGAATATTCTCTTACCGTCTACAAGCATTAGGTGTAGGGGAGGATGGTCCACAAAATAGGTACCAGCAACCGCAGGGGTGGTGAGAAAAACACTGAAAGTATGTGAGGTGATTTCATTTTGTAGTAAGGAATGGGTGAACATTTCCAAAAAGCCCAACAGCCCTTAAGTTTAGTTAGAGAACTCCTACGCCATTCCCCATATATTGTTTATCCATTATAGTTCTGTCTGTCAGGAGGAAGATCATAGGTCTGATTCTGAACTGTGTTGCATCTCTATTGTACTTTATTTCCCTTTGCTCATATACTGCCAAGGGAATTAAGGTGTAGAGGAGAAGAGCATAGTAAATATGAATCAGTTTTGCACCTAGTAATTTACTAAGCCATTGGTCTAAACATTTAGACTCTTGCATAGAAACAGGCCAGATAAGCTGAATTGTAAGAAGAGTATATAATTCAGCACAGCTGTTTTTGTAAGCTTGCCTTTTTAATACCAATTTCTATGCATTAACAAATTTAGTAATATATAATCACCTTCATAAAAACTTGGGAGTTCATTCTGTTTGTTGACTGGGATTATAATTTAGCTTTTTCCTCCAAAATTAAGAGTCACTTGTTGGGTAGATGGGGAAACAATACAGTTTATGAATTTACCCTGTTTACTGAGATCTTCTCTGCTAAAAAGTGAATAGCTTCTGGGCACTAAAATGCATAATAAGAACAAAATGGTGATTTGTACTGAAATCAAGAGGAAAAGGACAAACCCACAGATGACAGATTATATACAGGAAGCCTGTCCATTTATTTCAAAATCAGATATTTTATAAAATAAAGTATAACTATTCACTAGTAAATACTAATCTTATTACAGAGTAGCAGTTTCTAAAAACATTCCCTTTGCTATTTTACCAACTATACACAAGAATACATTTCTTCCTCACAAAAATTAGCTTTGAGCAACAAGTGCAAATGTTCAATACATACCACTGATTGAAAGCATTTAGAAGAAATGTATTTGAAATTACACAAAAATTCATCTCCATCAGTATGTCTTTTGAAGCCACTCAAATCCACCTAGCAGATTCTCATTTAAATAACCATCATTCCTTGCCACTTGCCAAAGAGAAACATGTATTGTACATATTACATCCCTTACTTATAAATGTTTTCTTCAGCAAAAATGTCCCTCATTAACTCTTTAGCAAACTAGCATTTTACAAATTAAATTTTGAACTAGAGAACTTTAGCAATGGTAAAACTGTTTGTTTGTTTTTTCTTCAGCTTTTTCACAGAAGAATAAAATAGCATGAAATGGTATGCCAAACTAAAACTTGATTTGTTGAGGAAAAAAGCAGAGACTGTTTTGTTTTTTTTTTTTTATTGTAACAAAAAGACATATTTGACTTGTGTTATTTGGCATTAAAAAAAAAAAAAAAAAAAAAAAAAAAAAAGAATGCAGTATTTCTCTACCCCCTGCAAAAAAATCACCAGCACATAATTTGAAAGTTAATTTATTTAAATTGGGCCGTCATTTCTAACTAAACACCAGTGATTATCTGTGATAGCCTTGTGACAGCTGTGGATCAGGTCAGTGCTCCACGAATGGTTCCTTGGACACAGAGCAAACATACTCCGTGAATCAAAGAGATTCCAGGAAGGCCCACTGAAAGCAATGAAGCTACTCTGGGAAAAAAATATTACCTGACTTGAACACAACAGCTAAGGCCACGATCTAGCCTTTCTTGGAATGTTATGTTTTACTATTTCTCACTGAGGTAAAATTAATTATTTTTATTGCCCCTTCTAACCTTTTCATGAGGAAAGAATTGTAGTAGTCACCCAGGGGCCAATTTTATGTTCCAGAGACGTAGACTTAGAAATTCCCCTCACGGTGAGAAAATAACACGCTTCTCATTTTCCATTATCAGCAGTAGCAGCTGCCTGGAAAGGAGTCACTGAAAGTGCCACTGAGATGGAAGGAAGCTTCCCATTTTTCATATTCAGAGGAAGAAAGAAACACTCTGATATTCCACAATTTCTATTAAGATAACCTTGAAATAGACATGGCACTTGAGAATAAAGGGTTAATTTTTCACTCTTTATGAGCTCTAGAGTTGTGTGTAAAGAGGTGGACAGAGTAAGTGAGTGATCCCATTCAGAATATGTCTTCACCAGTGTTCTTTACATGGGCATATAAATCCCAACCTCTGGCAAGAACAACTTCACCTGCATGGGGTAGGAGCTAGCCCTAGCACAAGTCCTGGAATGTGAAATTGTAAGTAAGGCAGCTGTAAATTAGTATCATCATTAGTTTGCAGAGGGGAAGAATTTGATGTTATCTACCTAACAAAAAGTCTGCACAACATGAAAATACAGAAATTTAGTGTTTTTTTCCCTCCTTTCAGATTCACCATCTGTTAGCCCAGTGGAAAATGGGGTGACCAATTGTTGGGGTAGGTACAGGTTTCATCTGTAGAGGTTTGGGAATTTTCACAGGCACATTCCAACCAGCAATCGTACCATTGTGTTCCAGCCATTCATCCCCCACCGCTGTTCCCTTAATAAAAACTGGCAGTGCATGGTAACTTCCTAGAAAGAATAGGGTATTGATCCTACAGAATTTATGTGAACAACTTCTTACGCGTGCAAAGGGGTCAACTGAAGTCTGTGGCATTGTTTTTGTGCATCAGATTTGAGGGGTTCCAGCCCTAAGGTAATGCATAGGGTTTGTGGCTACTTCCCGTCCTATGTGATTAAAGCTGACTTTAGTCCCTTCAGGGCCAGATCCTGTAGTGTGTGCTTAGCACACAGATGTGTCACACTGACTTCCACAGAAGTCAAGAATCTGAACACATCGCTGGATGCATTCACATTTGCGCTCGGTAAGAAGGGACTCTAAGTACTTAAAGCTAGCATAAGTGATAATGCACTATTATACCTATTGTCCCAGTAGATTCCTGAATATGAGAACACATACAGTGACCAAATTTGTCTTCTGAAAGCTCTGATTATGTAAGGGTCAGTACAAAAAGCCCTTAAAAAGAAATGAAAACCAAAATCACACAACCTGGGTACCCCAGGAAACTCAATGGCACACTACTTGGATAAAGAAGTTAGAGTCATACTGAGCTGGAGCAAGATGACCATCACCAGAAGATGTAGAGGATTTAAAAGTGCGTTTAGACACCAAATATCAAGATGTTGAAATTTCAGCCTCAGGAAGTGTTTTAATGGAAGAAAGTAGCTTAATCATTCAGTATATTTTGCAACTTTAGCTGAAAGTTAACATCACAAAATAATATATTGCTATGCGGCTTGAAGAATCACACAATTGTACTCAAACAATTTCCCATGTTTTTCAAGTCTGCTGTTCATTAAGAGCTCTTCCTCTCTTTGCAGTTTCCAGTTTTCAAATGGATGATGCAACCTATGCATAGCTCGATGTTCATTCTCATGAGTCATAATCAATAAATAATCATATCACATACACAGAATTTTACAGGTATTCTTAAAATGGTTTTACAGTTCTATTAAATATATAGATAAAATAATCACTGCTATATAAAAAAATCTTTTTAAAACAGCTGAACTCTGAAGCTTTGCATAAAATTCTGTAGACACATTCATTACAATCTAGAAACTCAATAAAAATACATTTTAGAGCTCAATCTATCAAAAATATTCATGGCATTGAAAAGTGATTGTCATTTTTTTACTGCAATCTGTACTTGCCCCGTCTTTGCACTGATAATGTCCTACCATTTGGCAAAGGCTCTGTTCATTTCATTTTGTGACTGTTTAACCCATTTCTTCAGCTCTAAGACACTTGCCCCATAAATGTCTAGCGATGTTCTGTCTTTAATCCTATACCTCTTCTTGCACTTTCTATAAAATTCACTGCAATGAAACACTTTGCAGTGAAGTTACCCAACTACAATAACATTGAACCATCCCCTTATAGCTGTCTCACAGTCCGTAATGGTGCTTTTGTGAACACCACACACCCTTATCCAGTAATCCTCAGACACTTCCCAACACTTGCACTTTCCAATACTCTGCTATCCATACGTTTGCTCAACAAGAACCGGTCTTATCACAGAATCACAGAATCCTTTAGGTTGGCAAAGACCTCCGTCATCAACTGTTAACCTAGCACTGCCAAGTCCAACACTAAACCCTGACCCCAAGCACCTCATCTACACGTCTTCTGAATACCTCCAAGGATGGTGACTCAGCCGCTTCCCTGGGCAGCCTGTTCCAATGCCTCACAACCGTCTCCGTGAAGAAATGTCTCCTAATATCCAACCTAAACCTCCTCTGGTGCAACTTGAGGCCATTTCCTCTTGTCCTATCACTTGTTACTTGGGAGAGAAGACTGACCCTCACCCCACTACAACCTGCTTTGAGGCAGTTGTAGAGCATGATAAGGTCTCCCCTGAGTCTCCTGTTCTCCAGGCTAAACAATCCTGGTTTCCTCAGATGCTCCTTATAAGACTTGTTCTCTAGACCCTTCAGCAGCTCTTCTCTGGATACGCTGCAGCCCCTCGATGTCCTTCTTGCAGTGAGGGGCCCAAAGCTGAGCACAGTACTCAAGGTGCGGTCTCACCAGAGCAAAGTACAGAGGGACAATCACTTCCCCCATCCTGCTGGCCACACTATTCCTGATACAAGCCAGGATGCTGTTGGCCTTCTTGGCCACCTGAGCACACCGACATGGACTTAACAGATCAGTACCCATATATGTCTGAATTCTGCTACCAAGCCAAAGTATCACATGAGATCAGTTCAACTTTAGTAGTCTTCAAAACCCCAGGCCTTTCAGGAAAAACTTCCTTATTCAGACAGTGCACAGATCTGTCAGAAAAAATGGATAGATAAAAGATCGCCCACCAGCCTTTAAAAACTCAGATGCCTCAAGACGGTCTTCTAGCCAGCATATTAAAATGGGTTTTGCTGCAGTGAGTGCTTCACAGTCAGGCTTTTAGACTGTAAGCTAGACACCCAGTCCAAAAAGGAGCAACAGTTTCAGAACAGGGTACTTGCAGTGAGAGATGGATCTTGCACTGTGGAAGAATGATGCAGGCTCACAAGTCCTTGTAAGTGGGAGAAGCTGCTGCTCATGCAGGTGTCTTTTCTTGCAGGTCCAGATAATGTCAGAACTCCCGGAGAGTTCAGTCTCTTTTCATGCACAGCTGACCATACCAGCATAATCACTCATAACTCTATTCTGGATCTTCTTACACATGCAATGGCTGACTAAGGTAGACTGCTTCTGTTATATCTGTATTATATCATATACAAAGCAGCCAAATACCAAGTATCATGTACTTATTATTTTCATTGATTTTACATGGAAGACACAATCTCCAACTTTTCATGGGCTAGGCTGGCTGGCAAGCACACTTCAGTTTAAACATTGGGTGAAATTATCAAGACAATCGCTGCATGCTGTTTCAGCCGTTAATCATCAGTAGGAGGGAAGAAAGAAAACCCTTGTTTTTGTCTTTCTTAAAAGAAAATATTGTGTAATGAAATTGCCAGCATCAGTGCATGCCATTCACTTCTCTATTTGTTACGGATATGAGTGGTTTATAAGAGACATCCAAAGATCTTCTCATTAATTTTCTTGGGAGGAGGGAGAGAAGACAGAAGGAAACTTATTTTCCTTGATTGAACTTTGACAACTGCAAAGTTCAATGAAGAGGCTGTAATCCAACTCCAGATGATCTCTGTTGAAGAATAAGAATCATGGAAGAAACAAAGGAAGAGATGCAAAAATACAAAGAAAGAGTTGTCATAAACCAAGGGAGCCTCTGAAGACTGGCACATAGTGAAGAGCTCTCTACACTGTTGCTCCAATATACTGTACGTTGCTAGTTCCTGCTATTAAATAGGTGCCATGGTATTCAGGATAAGAATTTTGTATTAAGATTATTTATTTTCAGAGAAAAAGCACTATTCCTAAAATTTCAATGTTATATTTTAGAAAAAATCTTTAAAAATTCTAAAATAGATTTTATTTTGGAAGAAAGTATTACTGTCTTCATCAACAAAATCAGAAGACTCAAAATGTTGAAAATTTTCACTGGAAAGATAAAAGACTTTTTTTTTTTTTTTTTTTACTTATGTTGGTTTACACTAAATTAAGTTTCGAAGTTTGGATCTGTTGCTCACCAAGCACAAAGGATCTACTTTTTATGTTCAAGGGGTGAATCCAGCTCTAATCAGGACAGAACAGAAAAGACTTCAATTTTCTATTGAATGAAAGAGATTCCGAATTCCTGTCTGTGCTTAGGATATCCTACCATGCACTATTGCTATCACATGCTAATTTCTCCTCTTAAAAAAAAAAAAAAAAAAAGCTTACAAAGAAGAATGAAGTGTGATGGGCAGTTAGGATTTCACCAGCAGATGACCTGACTACAAGAAGGTTTTTAAATACCTGCAAATAAAGTTTCTTGACTAGCTTTTCAAAGATGGCCATCATCAGTAACATACAAAAAGCAAACTTCTTCAGGTATTCTCTACAGAAATCTCTAGATGAAGACTTCCGTTACATTCCCTCCTAAGCAGCCACTAGCCTGTATATTCTTCACACTTCTCCACACCCAATTTTTTCCTGCAAACTAAACATAACAGATGCAGTATAAAAGTAAATTCCTATCCCCCCTCCACAAATAAACCATCCACCTGACTTTGTTGCTCCACTGGCTTGCCATTAGCACTACAGTCAGTTCCTCTGGTGAGCAAGTTTCACCATCTCCAAGTCTGCTCTACCTCCATCTCTCCCAAAGAACTCTGTGGAAAATGTGAAAATGCATCTCAAGCATCTCAATCATCCCTTGCAGGTGGGCCAGATTCATGGGCAAGCCAACAACACATCTTCAGAGCTGTTGGGCCCTACCTAAGTGAATGAAGCCAGAAGAATTATTTTTGAAGACTAGAGCTCTGAATTGTTCATATTTCTACTGATAATTATCCATTTTTATTTAGCATCTTATAAAGCAAGGCACAAATGTACAAAATCGCAGCTACTAAATAAGGTCATTTTTATATATATTTACACAGTTGTCGTAATATAAAATGTGCTTCGACACTGTCATAGCACAACAGCAGGGGAACTGAGGAGAACCTGATAGTGAACACAAATACCAGGTCCTACGTTTCTGTTTGTGCTTCACCTGAAGGTACATACTCATATGCAGATACACTAAGCAATCAGGCCACTGTCTTTTATTTTTCCACACCTCATGGAGATCAAACCTTGCTGCTAAGAAGCTGTGGAACGACTAAAAAGCAGTAGATCAGCAACCAGAGGAAAATGATGAAATAGAACATCTCTGACTGATCAACACTCGGAGCCTGGTGAGGAGATGCTGGAGTCTCACTTGCTTCCATGTCTTTTTTATTCCTGAATATAGGAGAGAATTTGATAAGAGACAGGAAAAATAAGAAAAAACTCCCACTGTTAACATTTTCTCTAAAGATCACAGGGTCACTAACAGTCAGCAGTTTAATAAACCACTTCCATCTAATCAGCTGGAGCCCAAGCTAACTCTGAGATGCATAATGGGTTTTAGCAGTGCATTTCCTTAGGAGTCAAAACATAGGAATTAATCCCCTGAAAACTCGGGACAAGTTCTCAGGTATCTTAAACACATGTAGTACATTCCTTTGACATAAGCTGACTTCGAACAGCCAAAAAGATACCTCTTTATTTTCAGAAAGTAAACACAGCTTTGGGCAACACTTGTATCACACTTCTATTTATACAATGTAATCTGGATATACTTTCCACAAATCAGCTACTTTTAGAGTTTCTCATGTGAGATACAAAAAAATTAAACAGAAGAAGCTCAAGACTTCCAGAAACAAATTAGCAACTGAGGGGTTGGAGAACAACCCCAGAAGTCCAACTGCAGGTCTTAGCGGCAAAACCTGATGGACTCTGCCAGCACCACTAAGCTCTCACAAAACCAAGAAAAAGTCTTTAAAATGGTGCAAGATGGTAATATTATAAAATGAATGTACATGTATCATGCTCTTGTACACATTTTTTTTTAAATCTTTTTTTCAGGAAAACTTTTTTGGCCTCTTTTAACGAGTCTGTTTTTCTACCTTGGGCATCCTGCTCACTCAGATATGGTACTGGATATATATCTGAGTATTACACAGAAATTTCTCTATATCAGCTATATGAGGGCCTCATGTATGAAGTCCTTTCACCCTTTACCTGGTCTGAAATACCCACCATGTTGAAAAAGAGCTGACAATCCTGCTAAGACAGCTGAACCTTTCCTCTCAAGCAAAAGACATTTTAATGGAGGGGAAGATCTAGCAACAAAGAAGTTTTGTATCTTATACCTATGGGAAATACAGACTCTAAACCAGTATACAAGATGTCCAGCCAGTCTACCATTATAATTATTTTTTTTTTCCTTTGTAACATTATTAGAAGCTATAACTAAATAGAAGTTATAGATTCCTTGCAGAAGATTGTTTCTGAATAAGAAACTCACCTGATGATTGGTAGATTTTCACTTACATCTGTCATCGTCTGGTTGTTTTCACCAAAGATTTCCTTAAACAAAAAAGTGACCAGCAATGGGACAGAAGAGGGAAAAAAAAATAGAAAAGAAAAGAGGGGAGGGGAGGGAAGGGGAGAACAAGTTCAGTGTCTCACAAAGATGGTAGTTTTGTGTGCAGTCTATGTAGAACATGTCTAATGTTTACTCAAAATGAAAGTGTGCTTCTAAATTTATTCTGCACCCGTAGATCTACCACTGCAGTCTAGTATAAACACACTAAAAAAGGGAAAAAACTCTCCTCCTTCGTATACCTTTCTTTTACAACATTGCAAAATCAGAGCACCTGTGTGAAACATCAGTTTCATTGAATGTTGGTGGCAGAATTTCTTTATAATTCCAAGAAGGTCCAAATTTTATTTTGTGCTGAAAAGAGACATATTTCTATCCTTGCTCAGCATGCCCAGACTGCTGTTGCTATCCTTTCTGAGTTAAAAATCCAGAGCTCAGTCATGGAGTATGTTTTCAAGAAATCAATATGAATTACATCTGCCATTAAGGATGCAGTTTCACATTACAACTAAATTTCTTTGACAGTTAGCTGATTCTATTGATATATATATATATATATATATATACACACACACAGTATAAGATAATATAGTATACTACAAAGGAGAGGCAAAAGGCTCAATCTGTGGCAAAAAGTGCATTTCAAGAGACACTCAACATTTTTGTGGGGCCGTGACAAGGATGCCTACGTGTATACAGTGAGTGAACAAACTAAAAGAAATAGAAGCTGCAAGTAAAGCAAGCTTCAAAGAACTGAAACATTTCAACTATAGTTATAACAAAGTAAACCTCAAAATTAGAATATATTTAATTTGAATTTTAAGTAGTCCTTTGTGGTTTGATCAAGGTTCAATAAGGCTCAATTACCTTTATTTTGAAGAGTTCAATAAAGCTTTTAAGTTATTTATTCCTGGTTTTAGCATTAAAATTCTTCGAAGTCTTAGGGCTTTTGTGTTATCATAGTACATATAGGCAGTAGACTCTTTAACAGTCTTCCAACTTTTGGAGTTTAAGAGAAATAGTGAAATAGCAAGAGAAAGGTAAATTTCCACTTACCTTCTCAGAAGTATTAGGAAGCCTTTGTCGGAGATAAATGTTGGAATCATTGTCACTAGTTCTGAAATGTACATAAAAGCAAAGTGTTTTAATTTATAAAGCTAATCTTTGCTTCAACTTCAAAGGGAGCTACTGCAATTGCACGTGCTAGTTTTAGGTTATGTGAAACCACAAATATTCATTGTTGCATGTTTTAGAATATGGATTTGAATTTATCAGTAATATTAAACAACAGCTTTGGGAAAATGTTAAAATTTTTGATAAAAAAAAATAATAATCCCAATCCTCAAATTTAAATCTCTTCTGGAAAATAGTATATGATACGTTTTTTGCAGCTTTGACATCATCTAGATTTAAGTGAAACTTATAGCTAAGTGAGCTTCTACGGTTGTGTACTTATAATATAATTGACAGATTGCAGGGAACAGAAAGCCTGACAAAGGAGATGTTTTTTTTTCTAAGCAAATACTTTTAAATGCATTAGCATGCGATAGTGACAAGCACTGACAAATGACAGTTCATGTCCCACTCAAATGCATTACCTAAGAACTAAATTAGAATGTAAGAGGGAAGAGAAGTGAATGGATTAAAATTAGCAGTGTTTCATTCACTTCTTCAGGCAGAAAAAGGCCAACCAATATCTATTGGAACGATGCAGTGTTGTGCTCGCACATGGTGTTACAGTGCATGTGCATTATTTCATCTACATTGCTAAACATTCCCTTGGAAAAAAAGTTTACAACACAGCCATGCTCAAAATGCACTGGTATTCTAGTTGGCTTTGTGTAGCTAAGATTGTACAGCAAAGTCAAATCAAGTCCCACGGGCACTAAATTGCTTGATATGTTTAAGCAAAACACAGGAGGAAGCCAATGACCCAACACAATGCTTCTAAAGGAAGTCTACAAGAAACATCCAGTTTCAACATTGAAACATTAGGGCATACTGTAGAAGCCCAGGCATTTATATCAGTTAGATGTATTTAAGAGAAAATCAATGTGAAATACCTGTAAAATTCATGACAATTAGCAATTTCTTCCAGTTCATCTTGTAACAGAGTAGTAGTCCCAGCTTTTGAGATCTGTAAGTCTTCTGCTTTTATCATATTTTTGTTTTTTTCCTCCCTGTTACTACTTTCTTTCAGTATCTTTCCCATTGTTGCTAAATCATCTAGATGGTTGAAATCTACAGCCTGTTGAAATTAAGAAACATCTTGTGTTAGACAACAAGACTGATTCCCCACCCTTCCAAATATCTTAGTGATACAGCTTACTCAGATGCTAGATTATGTGTCATACAAGATTGAAGGTGTCTCTAAAGAGAGAAAAACTTTTTAAAATTATCTTGAAAAGCATTTTGAATACACTGAGCTATAAAGTATCACAAGTTAAACTTACATGCAATTAATTGACAGTTCTTTTTACATAAGAAATCATGACATGACATGACTCTGAAATAATCTGTTAAGACTTTTTTGTTTTTAATCTATCTCAAAATAGCCTATTGGAGATAACAGAAATTTGACTTCATTACCCTAATAATTGCCAGGATCAAAACAAGCCTAAGCAACAACTAGAGAGACATTCAAACACTTAAATGGACAATCCTTCCAGAAAAACTCTGCATAAAATTACTATGCTGGAAAATGTGCAAGACAATTCAAAATCAGTGCCTGCAAGGATAAATACAACACCGCACTTTGCCTAAATCTAAAACACAAATAAATTGCCCCAAATCACCTCTCTTCCTCCTTCTGCAGTGTAGATAAATCTTGATTGTATCCACATAACTTAACCTACTCAAATTGGTTTGTTTACATAGACAAACTTATTTAGATTCAGACTAAATATACCTTTACTTGTATACTTTCTATATCAACAATGCTGCTTCCAGTTCTTCTCATTACAAATTATTTAAAATAAAAATACTGTGATAATCTTTTATACCCAGTAGTTTCAAAATATTTTAAAACATCAGTAAAAATAACATTTCTGCAAATTGTGCTTATTCGTTCTTTTGCTAATTTCACATCTCAGGAAGCTGCAATTCCATTGATTCCAGTAGAGGGCTGTGGCAAACAGTGTTATGGGACAGGAGACCAAGTACATTTTACATATTTCTCCAAAGAGCATGCAAAATGAAAAGAAATGGCAGCCACTCAGTACAGATACTAGTCCCCCCATATTTTCACAAAGAAATACAGTTAATAAAAAATGAAATACCTCAGAATGTTGTAGAACTGTGGTATCTTCATCGCTGGTGGCCTTTTGGCCATCTTTTTCATTTTCTAATTCTTCTACTAGTAATAGTACTTCTTCTTCATAGGAAGAATTCCCATGACCATTAATATCTATTGTTTCCTCCTCTCCATTCTCAGTATCCATTTCTGGTGCAGGAACTCCTAGGTTATTCCCTAAGCCTGGCTCTGGAGCATCTTCCAAGTAGTCCTGTGCTGGTATCCCCTCCTCATGTAAAACATCTGTTACTGTTTCACAAGAGTTTTCATTTTCAGTATCATAACCTTCGAGACAAGGCTCAACATAAGCATCCAGAACTGCTGATATGGGAACGTTATAATGTGGATAATAGAAGAGATCATGGGGTATTACTGATACTTTTGAAGAACTGGGTAGCACTTCCGCTGAAGACTCATCTTCATCATAGCTGTCAAGGTCCTCTGCGTTTTTGGGCACATCTGAGAGAGAGTCATCGGATGTTTCTAGCAGTGTAGATAGTTCTTGGCTTTCAAGATTAGAACCATTCACTGAACAGTGGTTAGATTCTGTTGTCTCAAAGACAGGCGATTGCTTTGCATGTTCATTTTCTGGCAGTTTCAGTACTTCCTCATTTAGAAGATGGAGAACATACTTATGTGTATCTTCTTGTTTCGAGCTATCTTCTGGTAAAAGAATTGGAATTTGGGGCTTGCTCTCTTCTACTTTATTTATAGATTCATCTGTAAGTATACCTGAAGTCCAGGACAGTGGGCTTAAAGAAGAAGTATTGGCTGAAAGGCTCTTAGTTTCATTGTCGTATTCAGTATAGGTTTCTTTAGTTAATTCTTCAGAGTAGTCTTCAAAAGAGTCAACAGAATTTTTCTGGTCTGTCAGAACAGCTGGAGAAAAGTCATCATTCTGTTTCAGTGGGTCATCAGACATGTCCCCTTCACCTGGCATCAATTTATCACTAAGCATTTGCTGGGATGAATTGGATTCAAAGCGGATAGATCCTGTAATGTTCAGCGAGGTAGGCCTTTGAGGCTCCTCTTCTGAGGTTTCCTGTGAATCATCTAACACTTGACTCAATTTGCCATTACATTCTTCAGGAGCGGTTTCTGACAGGATTCTCTCAGGGGTGTCATGAATATGAACCTTTGGAGGAGCAGGGTGACTCCTTTCATGACTAACAGTATACATGTTTTCTTCACTTTCACTTAAAATCAAGATTTTGCTTTCCTTTTCTGAAGGTGTGTCTTTGATGTGAACATATGTGGACTCAATTGGAAGCTCCTTGTCAGGATCTGCAAAGTCTTCCTATAAGTGATGATACACCATTAAAGAACAAATCATACCTCACATATCATTTTACTTCTCCCAAATGCTACAGTAACTAGCCCATCACCCACCCCATTACCTTTTGAATGGCCAATTAATGACTTGTTTATTTTGAAAGTAGGGAAATAAATTTGGCAAGCCAAGAGAGTTGAACAAAGCTCAACATGAAGAAGCCGCTTGTACAGGAAGATTAGAATGCAGACAAGCCTACTCCTCAGTTGTTAATGTATTCATCTCTCCCTGCTGCACCTGTGGAGACAACTGACTTGGCTTTTTTTGGGACACAATCCCAAAATCAACTACATCTACTGTGAAATATATTCATCTACTAGATTAGTCAGTTCCAACAGACTGTATTGAAAATAAATAAATAGGCTTTTTCTTTCTCCATTATAATGTCCGTAAGTCTTAATGCCAACCAATCTTCATGCTCATCTAATGTAATAATCATGGTCATATTATTTTAATAATTTTAATTCCAGTGACTTTAGTAATGTCCACCAATTCTATAAGCTATGAAATATATACTAAGTGAAACCTTCAGTCAATAAATGCGAGGAAATACCTTTAATGTAGGAACTATGATGTATGTACATGTACTCAAGCACAAAAGAATAAATAAATACTTAAGGGACACTGGGTCTCCTGGGGACCCTTTCATAACAAAAAGACTATGCTGAACTAGGTTTGCGTAGAAGTACGAGCAGCCTCCATCTCAGTTTTTCAACGTATGCAGGTCTTTTCTCAAGTTCCTGGGACTTCTAATTTTTCCTCCAGTTTTCTGTGTCCTATTCTTTAATTACTCTTTAAGTTGATCTTCTGTTTCTCAAAAAGCCATTTGTCAGGCCTTGTTGAGGCCTGCTCCTCAAACCTTAATTTTTGATAAATCTGCCTTCAGGCCCTGGTCCTTGAAGCTGTAAATTATTTCATGCTTACAACGAGTGCTTTTGACTGCTGTATTGATGAGATGCAGTCTCTGGTACCTTGTGTCTGATACAATATCTGCTAAATTCAGATTGATTGTGGCCCTCAGACTTGAGATGACTGAAGACAAAAGCAAATTTAAAGTCTAACAAATCATCATAGATGAAGGGATAAACCTCAGCTTTATTCTGAAACTAATATACCAAAGTAGCAGAGCCTATGTAACCATTTCTATCCTCTGAAAGCTATACTTAGATGTAAAGGTTTAAAAGCAGAGTTCTTCCTGAATCTGTTTATCAAACTGCAGTGAAAGCCCACCTGACTGGATTTAACAGAAAATGTGAACAATTAAAACTGAGCTTGTGGTTTATTTTAAATAGCTCAGAAAGAAACCTAGAAGATAAATGCAATATCTGACTTTATTAAGTACGCCCAAGCAAATAGAAGTGACATGACGTAAGAGTAAACACTTACGCCTTCCAGCTCAGGGAAGTGTTCCAGAAACTGCGCCACATAGGTCACAATAGAGTGCTCATCGGGGGATTCCACCATTATATCTGTGGAGACAGATGCAAGGTACATCAGCACGCTTGGCCTTAAAGCCTTCTTGCAGAGGAAAAGACCAACAGACATTAGTCTGCCTTTATGATGAGAGGAATAGTGGCTACAGACACTATTCTTTTGCTGACAGATCAGAGCAGGTAGTTTTCTTTTCACTGTTAACTGTACTCTTTAGAGTTCTCACCGTCTTATTCACATTATTTTTTTTCCTGTTTCCAAACACACACTGAACCCAGAACAGGGTCATTTTTCATCTACTTGAATAATGTCATTTACAGTATGTATGTCACTATCACTAGACAGTCATCTTGCTGAGTGACAGAATAGAGACTTGTTTGTAGCAGAACCCATTCTTCTGAAAGGTGACCCAAGAAAGCACAAATAACCAAACTGTGCATTCAGTTATAAAGTCAAGGCCTAACACCAGTGTAGCAGTGTTCAATAAAAAACAGTGCAAGAAGCTGCTCCACTTATATACATAAACTTATTTGCACACTTATATATGCTTATGTACACATATTTATATATGCAAGTATATATATGAATTGTAGAAAAGTAACTGGGAAATGCAAATACATCTGAATAGGTATCTACCCATTTTCCTAGTGTGGCAGCTCACACACTTTGTCCTGGAGTGACATTTAGTCTTTGTAAACTGTAGGCATTATGAAATGCTGCTACTGCACTGAGACACCTCTCAGCTCAGCAGGCTGGCGATTAATGCCCATTAGTAATACCAATGTCACACAGCATCTAATCATTAACCAGGACCAGTGTACGTAGCTAAACCTACGGTAAGATCTCTGCCCCCATGAGCTTACAAGTATGAGTGGAAGCATAGGACTACTAGCCAGGGACCACTTCATTTTTCTTATCATTCAGCCCCACACAATGATCACATAAACAATCTAATCACTGGGAGGTTTTAATAGGTGTGATGATGCAATATTCATTAATTCATTATTGCTTGAATGTTACCCAACAACATTGATGTAAACATTTTACCTTCCGGCTCTAGGAGCCTAGGAACACCCAGCTTATTTTGTGCAATGCTGAAAGCATCCTCCAAGTTTTCTCGAGCTGATTTCTCCAGTGCTTGCTTCATATCTACCAAAGTGGAGTCTATGGCTTTTATGACAGCCAGGAAAGCCAGGCCACTCCTCCAACTGCTGGCAAAGTCCTGAACTGCAACACCATACCTAAACAGAAGTACATACAATTTACATGGCAGCCATGTTACAAAATCCAAAATAAAGGCATCATCATTTTGAAAGGCAAAAGTAAGGTTGTTGAGTCACACTAGTCATGTTTGAGATCTTTTGGATTTCAAAACACACAAAATAGTTTCATAAAACACAAGGATTCATAGGCTGGATCACTGTGGCCAACAACTGACATCAACCTGCTCGTAGGAAGCAGCTGGTGAAAACAAAACCCTCAAGTACTCAGCAACCAGATTTAACATTCACAAAAACAAATGCCTGTGTGATTCCTGTTTCTGTTGTGTTCCAGCATTTTAGTGCCATAGCTTGGGATGACTGCCAACACTTAAGTACTTAAAAAACATAAGCATAAATGATTTGCTTTCCTATGTCCTTGGCCTTCTGTAGCAGAAAATCATGCTTTGCCAGGTGCAAAGAGTGCCAGTATATGTACAGATCACAAGTACATTAGATGTCCAAAGTTTTGCAGGAAAATACAATCACTGAACTTGTAATGAAGTCACTACAGGCTCAGAATAGAATTCTGCACAGGTCATTGGTTAAGGTGGTTATAATGATGCAATTATGTTTTAATAACCCAGTTGCAAGAACAATTTTCTCCTATTAAATGCTTTGATTTGTACACCTTCACTAGAATGAAGACTATGGCCTTTATTTCTCTCATTCTAACTCTTCTTGTGCCACCTCCCTGTTAATTACCAGCACTATTTTTGGAGTAAAACTGCACTTCCTCTATGGTCTACATTGTCAGCAATTAACTGTGGTTATCAATAGGACAAGTTTATCTGCACAACAAGCACCATTAGCTTCACTGGAGATAACCAAGGGATGTGGCCCACAGGACCAAGTATTTAAGAAGCAAATTTGTATCTTCAACACCATACACAGAACGTCTGTGTTCACAGGCAGATCTGGACATATAAATCTATCAACAGACAAAAATGGCAAATATACAGCTATTGAATCTGCATAAGCAAGCTTGTCCCATGCCCTCTGTAAAAATCTTTGGCAGTCACCCCTTCAAGATAATAATACATGTAAAATACATGCCAAGCATTTATGCATGCATTAGACATGTTACACTAAAGTATTTTAACTCAGCAGTGCTGCATGGCATTACTAAATGAAACACTTTGGTGAAAGAACTTTTTTTTTTTTTTTGTTAAAGGTGAGAGAGATGTGCTGATCAATGAAAATGGACCCAAAATGTAATACATTCACAAGAAACAATCTAAGATTTGACCCCTTCTCCTCCTTAATTTTGAAGAAATGAAGCTTCTAATACAAACTCTATCCTTCAAGGCAACTCTGCAGAGAAAATCCCTCAGGGCTGCTGCTTAATTTAAAAGGCTGTTGTTAAAGTCTTTCAACATGTGGTTGTTGTTTTATTTCTTCATTTAATAAAAGGCACCTAGCAGACTACACAGAAGTTGGGGGAGGAGAGGGAAGACGGAATCATTCTGTTTTAAATGGTGCCAAGCAGATTAGTGCAAGTTAACGTTTAACACTCAAGTCACGAAGCCAGCAACAGAATGCTTCAAGGTCAGATGGTTGCTTTAGACACAGGTATGCAGTGATACACTCAGCTGCAGATCCCTCGTGCCTGCAGACTTCAAAAGCAAAAGAGCCCTGGGCCGTGGTAATACACACGTTAGGCAAGGGATGAGATCTGGCTTCAACAAGACAGGTGGATGCGGTTTTCTAGGGCACTTTGCTCACTTACTTTCTGGTTTTCCTCTGGACCCAGATTAAAAGGGCTCTGATGGCTTTCCGCTGGTCTTTCACCGTGACAGACATGTTCCTCTCCACGTTGGGAGTGCTGGGGTGAGACGTGTCTGACTCTGGCCCGCTGGGCCCGGACGAGAGGCTGGATGAGGAGGAGTTCCTGTTGAGGTTGCCTGTCAGCTCCTTAATCTGTAACAAAAGGTGAAATGCACGGCGCTCCGATTTAATGTCGGGTGAATGGAAAAATGAATGTTTGTTTTCAGGCAAATTCACATGCTTCTAAGATAACGGGGCCATAACTGAATTTTAAGAGGTAATTATAGGCCTGTCCATTACAACTCGCAACGTGACAGCAGCAGCAGCCCAGCTGGCAACCCCAGGAAACAGAAAGGGCATGGGATCAGTTAAGACTGAACTGAAAATATTCATAGCAAACAAAAAGCACAGAAACGTGTCCTTTCAGTTAGTTTAACTGAAATCATTCTTTCTATCTGCAGGACTCACTCGCGTGAAACATTTTTAGTCAAGAAATGGTGACCGGCAACAGACTCCCATCCTTGGTCTGCACTGATAGTTGAGTCCAGGTTTTTCACCATGCTGCTTTCAGGTCCCCTGTGCTTCTCTTGCCAAGTCTGCCTGGCCAAACTGCTGTTGTACGGCATTGCTCAGCTTGAAGTACTCAGCCACAGAGAGAAACCTCAGTACCCACTTCAAGACAGGGCTTATTTTTTAAACCCACAGCCACTTTAGAAATGAGCCCAAGAGAATGAAAGAACATTTGCGCCTCACAGTCTTACAAAAGTTGCAGAGACCCTCCCTCCATCTCTCTCTTTTCATTAACATTTGGTACTGTTCAGAAGGTTATCAAAATAGATGTAGGTTAGTAAGCAGTTTTAATCTGACTAAACCTGTGACTAGATCAAATTTCATGTTTAGATCAGTTCTGTCAGTTCCAAAACTTCAGGCCCTTCTGCATCTTTCATTTGGCCCTCTACATCAGTTGTGAAGTTTGGCCGTGGTAAGTAGGTCTCCAGGGATCAGTGATTCTGCATGGAATTTGCCACCACGTTGGACCAGTTCCAGATAAGGTTATTGAAAATAAACTGTGAGCTGAAACCAAATCTGAGACATTGGTGCAGATCCAGGGAACCTGGAGCAGAATCCTGAGAAGGCACAGCAGAGAAGGGAAAGGAGTAATCTGAAGCTCTAATTCTGGTCCAAGTCAAACCAGGGTTTAAACTGCCTCCGATTCACACCAAAATAGGTCTAATGAAATAAAATGAAAACAGCTGCAGGTATTAAATTTACCTATATCACGAGGAAAAAAGCTCAGGTTTAGCATGCTTAATTATGTTTTTTAGGATTAAAAATCAATTTAAAAAAATTGATTGTTCACTTATGATTAATGTATTCAAGTTTTATTACCTGAAAAAACAAGATTATGTTCCATATTAGCCCAAGTACCAGAGAGGAATTTCCATCTGCTATTTCTGCTGCATCAATGCTAACAAGTTTTACCTGTAGAAGAGATCATAAATGCACAGACAAATTAAAAAAAAAAAAAATGTAAATGCAAAAAAACACACTGGCTTGAAATGAGACTGCTGGATATGTCCAGAACACCTGTCACTGACCAGCCAGTCAAAACGCAAGACTGAAATTTTGCATTAACAATAATTTGCCTTGAACACATCCACCACGCTCCCTGAAGTCTTATCTCAAGCCTCCCAAGCCTGTAGCATAGTCTGAAGCACAGGGATGAGCCCAGTTGTACGTCTTAAGACCACAAATGCATTTCCTCCACACAACCATGGAACAAGAATGGTGTCCCCTCTAGTAGATCCTATTCTTAAAAAGCAGAGGGCAGGTACACGTATGTACCTCCTGTCTTCCTCTGGCTAGGTTTCAACAGATTGGCTGGAATGCACATAAGCCCCAGGGAAGAGGGCAGGATTGAAGCCACTTCCCATAAGAAATAAATAAATAAATAACTTAAAACTGTAGTAGGATCTGCCCCCTTCTGTTTTGCTATGCATTGCCAATCTCTTTGCTTATCTCACCTTACACTGCTTGTCACAGAGCTCTGAGGAAATCAGTTAGCAAAGGATAAGTTTGCCTAATCCAAGCAAACTCTAAGGTTTCCCACATTGAAGTCTCTTCCACGTGATAACACCAGAATGTTATTCTCTTAGACAACACAGACTTGTTTTTGGCAAAGGTCACAGAGAAGGGAGGAAGCAAGGAAGTTGTCAGCACTGCACATGACACTCAGAGTGAGTTAAAGCCCAGCATACAGCCCATTTATCATTTATTTATAAATTCTGTACATGATGAATCACTTAGCAGAGCTTTACCCTGCTGCCCCAGTTCCACAGAAGCGTTTGCTGATGGGTTCCACCCATTGTGGTTTAATATCTAACCTCGAAGCTCTTGGCAGCCAAGGCATGTTGCCAGCACTTTCATCACTACCCTTCACTAACTGGCTTGGTTAAACTGAAAAACAGAGAGCAGAATAACTTTTTATCTAGTGGTTTGTGCAACAGTTTTCAGTCCTAGTGAGAAGACACCTCTAAGCTGTCATACTTCAAGGCTCAGATTTTCTTACTAGCTCCAAAGTATTTGGCATGGGAAAACCTTTACAGCCTAGTGTGTTTTAATAGCAGTTTGTCCAAAATGGGTTGTAAGTGGCATTTATCATGTTCTCAGTGTCAGCTCTGCCCTCTTACTGCTGCTTATGTTTGTCACCTGTCCCAGCAGAGCTACCTGCAATAAGATACCAGCTGCTTATTCTCAAGGAAACAAGAAATCCATGGAAAAGTAGTTGTTTTGGCACAAGTAATTAAGAGGCTGACGGTGTCTAAGGCTCCTCCTGCCTGGCCTTGCTCAGTGAATTTCCTGACTGTCACCTGGCAAGGTCATGGCAACCAGACATGCTTCAGCAGCAACTCCACAATGTTGATATCAACAGAGAGAAAAAATCTCATCTGCCAGCTGGCTTTGCGGGGAAAGCATGGTCTGAGAAACTGTTAAGAAAGCTAAGAACTTGTAAGGTACTTCTTAGCAGTTCTAGGTCAGGCCAGGTAGACCTATACATTTAGGGCCACATCAGCCCCTGACTGCAACACTTGGAAGACAGTGCACAAATTCTTGGCTTTTCACATCCTCTTCTGGGGAACAGAATGAAGAAAGTTAAACCTCCCAAATCTATTGGGTCATAAGAGATCCACTAATGCCTCACATCGTGCTCATTCCTGCACTGGGGTTCTCGCGACTGTAACTAGCACTTCTGCAGGATCTCTGAAGCAAAGCCTAAGCTCATTAAAAGAAAACAGCAAAATGCCAGTAGTCACAGTAGATATGGAATCCCCTGCTAGGCATGGCTTTGCTCCTCCACACACACACACACACAAGATCTTTCTTTACCTATAAAGCTTAATCCGCTAGAGTATTCATGCCCTGGAGTTAATAGGATCATGAGTTATATTTTATCCTAAACACTATCATGGAGAAGCTGTAAAAGTTTATTTCAGATAAAAAGATCTTCCAGTACAGCAAGAATGCTGTAATCCTTTGTAGGGCATAGTCCACTGCTTGCTTTCTCATTCTGAAAGATCTGGGCATGCCATGTAAATAAGTTGTCATGTGGCTGGGGAACTTCTCTTGACACCATTACTTTTCATCACTTTTCAAGAGAAGAGAGCTCTCAACACACAGACCACACCAATATTGCTTTGGAAGAAAGCTTGAATGGGAGAAATCAAAAAGGATTGAATTATTTCAAGCTACAGGGCTGATCTTACTGGGTCACTTTACAGCTGTGTCAGTTTTTAGGAAGTGATGTTGCAGTGGTGCCACACTGACTATGAGGAACATTATATCCTTATAAGGTTTTGATTCCTGGAATTATGCATTTATGTCATGTTCCCAGATTTAATTTTCTCTTGCCTTTGACTCATGATCAGCTGCTGCAGCAGTTTACCAGATAAATACATGATCTGTAATACCAAAAGTATTTCTGATGAAAGAAAGCCATCTACCTTCAAAGTAACTGAAGTAATGCCACTAATACCCAGTTCATAAAGATTACTTGCATTTCTTTTTATTTTCTTTTAATATTGGGTTCCTGATCCTTTAATCCTATTGAACTTTTACATTATAAAATGAACAAATAATCCTTGTTTTAGACTCTGTAGGTGTTCCCTTTGTGGATTTTTATGTGGCTTTTCAGCCTTGCTGTTAAGGTAAGTCACGATGCCTAAGCAGTATATTCCTCATATATATGCCTCGCATCAGACTAGTTACAATTACAACTATTACAATTTGCAACATAAATCAAGAGAAGAGATTAAGACCAGCCTTTGGAAATACTCACATTGCTGTCCTCCAAGAACTTAAGTGCTTTGGCTATGTTGTTCAAACGAAAAATGCGATGGGTTGAAGACTTATACTCGTGCATCTAGAAAAAACAAGAGCCGGATCAGTTTAAAAATGCAAATGCTGGAATTACTTGGCCTTTCACACAAAGCTTAAGAAAACCCTACAAAATAAAGATAAGGAAATCAATCTATATAAAAGTATTAGCATTTCTTCTGATCAGTAAAGAGTTTCAACTACTGGATCAGCCCAAGCTGTAGCAACACAGGGTTAGCAACCAGTTTTCCTACTCTGCAGATGTTACCTCTCTCCTGGACCTTCCATGTTGATTATTTATATAATCAATCCCCAACAACATTCAGTCACAGGCACAAATTTACCTGAAAATTCATAATAAGTTTTTTGTTTGTTTGTTTGTTTGTTTGTTTGTTTGTTTTTGTCTTGAATTAAATCAAATGATCCTAATTGGGAAGCATGAGCAGTTTAGCTACCAGGCATAGGCAGGTGGGAAGCAGCAACTTTTGCTTTGGCAGAGATGAAACAGATTTTTTGCATGCCCATCTCCTGGAAATTCCACTTCAGCACACCATTTGTACCACCTGTGTGCAGGAATGCCTAACTGCCAGCACACGTTGGCCAGCTGAACTCATCTCCTTCGTTGCCCTCCTCCTGACGTCCCAGTGCACAGCCTGGGGCTTGCTGTTATGTGTTTCCCCCTTCAATTCCTTTCCAGCCTGGCTCTGCTAGCTGCATGAATACTGACAGAAACACTGCTGCTTCTGCTACAGCCCAAACTGCATGATTATTAGAAAATAGGTTGTTCTGAATCTGTGCCCACAGTGAGCACTCATGTTGTAGGATGCATATGGCTCGGTCACTATGGAGCATCACCATTCAATCACAAGCTCAGTTGCAGCAGTGAGATGGCTGAAGAGCAAATCTCTCCTCATATCTAAAAGCAAGTGTGGTACCCACACAGAAAAGAGTACTTGCTGACAAGGCTGAAGTAGAAAGAAAATACTAAAGCCAACCGATGAAGCACTGGGTATTTCCATTTCTGGTATGTGGAACTTTATACAGGTCTAACAGAAAAAAGAGAGAAAGAGATGCTGGTAAGTGAAACTTTGCCAATCTGATTTAGATCCTACCAGTAAGACTAAAGGAATCGTAGCCAAGATACCAGAGCTCAACTCACTACTACACCACATCAAAGCATCCAGCATCGGCAGGCCTATTAAGTATCATAATGTCTTAAGACAAAATAAAAACTGAATTTATGGATTAAAAAATAATACTATTGTCCCATGAATGTATCTTTCCTTGATAACATGACTTGTGTGAGCTCCAAATGAAGTAGGTGAGCATTAATATATTCAAGTATTAAAAACATGTGGGGAGGAACATCTACGCTAATCACACACCTTTCATACCTTATGGTTAGATATTTCCTCAAGATCTAAGTTACAGCTCAGGACGCCAGCCAGGACACATGAGAAAATCACAGCAAAGCTGCTGAAATGCCTCTCACTGTACCCAAGACATGGGACCAAATTCTTCCTTACTGCTTGAGTATCAGTACATTGATACTTGGAACATGCAGAGCTCCACAGCGAGGCAGGTTCCCTCCCCTTGTACACCTACCAGCTTTTGTCCTGACAGGACTTCCAGCAGCGCCATCAAGATTTTGCCATCTTGTATATCCATAAACAAATCTTTCACTTTCAGAGGCGGCTTGCACTGTGGAGTAAAGAAAGCAGGCAGATTTTAAAACAGATTTTTGCTTGGTGAGTCACCATTATTGCAGGGAACAGGAAGGAGAGTTTTACAAGACAGAGATACTAGAAATAAATCTCAGCCTGCAGGAAGAAAGGACCAACTTTTCTTCACATCAGTGGCAATTCTGCCCTAGGGATGTCTAAGCTAAAACTGAGATATAGTGATCATGTAGCTGAGATCTGAAAGGATTTATTCCAGATCTCCCATACCAGAATCTCATCCTAAAGCTTCTGCCTGGGAAGCAAGCACCCAAGGGCTGATGCTGATCCCTCCAACTAAGACAGCTCCAGCAGAAGTGAATCCCACTTCATACTGCATTAAACAAGCCGCAGATCTAGCCAACCACAATGTCCTGTCTCCTCTGTAATGTTTCTGGTGGTGCCATTCAGTTTCCCAGCACTTTCTCAGTACTTTAACTAGCAACGTGTTATATTTTGTCTCTTTCTTCTCACCAAACTCCTCCAAGGGGAGCCACCTCCCCACTTCACAGAGGTGCCTGATGCTGTGAGCCCTGTGAGGCACACGCCAAGGCAGCACAGCCCTTAGGGGTAGTCTTAGCTGCAGCAATTAGACTCCATTCAGGTGTCACTCACGCATGTGTCCCTAAGGAGCCAGGCCTTTTTATCTTTGGTTCAGCAATGCACTGCTGTTTGGTTAAGTACAGCTTCTGGCAAGCCAGAACTGTACATTTTTGTTCCTAGTCTTTAATCTATCTGAGACTACTAAACAATGCTCTGTATTGAAAGGAAGAAAAGCACTGTTCATTTCAAGATTAAATAAGCTACCTGAAAGCCACAAATCCAAAGCTTTTTCATTCTCTCCTAACAAGATAAGAACCACCAGAAGTCACAGAAATGTGGACTGCCCCCAACCATCCCACGACCATCAGAGGTATCTCCTCTCAAAAGGTGATCCACATGGGATGGTCTGCTCCAAAATGGGACATGTCACACCACAAGTTTCCCAAAAAAGTACAGGAGGGAGACTTCACTGCTGCCTTTATAAGAAGCCCCTCCACAAGAAATGCTTCTCTGAGGATAAAGGCAGAAGCCACCTCCCTCAGTGGGTGTCTTTGGGGAATCACCTGTAATTAGAGAGCTTTAGCAATGCTCTCATTATTTACAGGGATGTGTTTGTTATGCCACTTCCAGGAAACAAATAAAAAATGAATTAATGTAGCAGTAGACTTTCTCCCTTTCTTCAGAAAAGCATTTTTCTATACTGAATCAGAGAGGGAAAATTGTATGCACTCCAGAGAAAGCAGTTCACCTGCCCAAAAAGTTTCTAAGACTTCATATGTTTGGCACAACAGAATTAACAGCACCCTACAACCTTTTTCATGATCCAATTCCTTTTGTAAATTAAAGACCTTTTCCACAGTCAAATATTCAACAAACCTTCTTGACAACCTTCAAATTGTGTTAGTTTAAAGCTCTAGAGCCTGATTCATGAAGGAATCGCATAACACCGTCTTCATTCTGAGAAACCTTTGGGAGCAATTGATAGTTAAAACATTACCAGCTGGCCTTATTCTGATTTCCAATGAGTTTTAAGAGGGTCAATTTATTCCTTCAGGAACATTCACTGCAGAGTTGTGGACTTAAGCAACTATATATGTGATGCCTTTCTTCTTAAATCCATTTGTTTTACCATGTCAGCCCCTTTCCAAGAGCTACATGAGCGAGTCTGGAGATGACTTGTAGCCCAGACTTAGTCCTGGTCTGCGCTTCATGTAATTTAACCACAGACACTACCAGCACTGTGAACCCAAGCTCCAGTCCAAGTTAGGACAGTTGGTCCAGGTCAGGGAGCTGCACTAAGCATTGCTGCTGTCTCAGTAATACAAAGTTTTTGTTTGTTTGTTTGTTTGTTTTTGTTTTTTTCTTCTCATCCTCAACAACAGGAAAATCCTCATCTGGATGGCAAACTGCTCATGAGAGTTACTACTTATCTATTATCAACAGGAACAATAAGATAGCTTCAATAGCCATATTATGGTGTGTTTAAGAAACAACTGTATTTTAAAAATATGATGGGATGTCCAAAAATTAGTTCCCTAACATAAGTGGATATATAAAGATCCCATTATACAGGCCCTCTAAAAATGAATGACAAATAATTAATGTTTCCCATTTGGAGATCTGTGATGAAGCCAGGTTCTGAAGAACCATCTGACTTTGGCTGTGGTATCTCAGATACTTGAACTTCCAGTCCAGGGAAGCACACAGTTATCATCCCTACAGAGCACCACAATTTGATTTTATGTGGGTATGTGGCATTCTGTGGGAAAATTCTAGCCTTGCAGTAGCAGTCAGTAGCATTAAAGACAGAAAGGTACCCGAGATTACTTAAAGCCAGCAAAGCGTTAATTGCACCTGAAAAGCAATATTCATTTACCTAGAAATGTACTTCCAGCTTCCACTCACTCTCCTACAAACCTTCTCATACACACAGAAGTTATCCTTGATTCCAAATTCTAACTATTTTTAAAGGAAATAACAGTCTGTCTACTGTTGTGTTCTTGTACTTCAATATCAAGTCTTACCTTTCCCAAATGCAGGTTTATCCATCTGGTAAAGGTCCTCTTCTGTACATTTTCCCGTTCCACTAGAAATATCAGAAACAAAACATAGTACTTAAGTTTCCAGAAGAGGAAATGCTTATAGGAAATCTCAAAATCTTATGCACAAAAAGGTCAAAATTCATGAGGGGCCTGTGAATAAAACAATTATATTCCAAATCAGGAGACATAAGGTTGAGCTATGGTATTTCGTTCCATTTCTTCGCCCAGATATGAGCTATGTGCTTGTAGATGCATTCTAAATTACGCAGGAAAAAGTCTCTGTTGGCTTTGCCATCTTCAATGTAGCTTTTGAGAGATGAACTTTTACATGTTGTGCACAGCTCTCCAGTGGTGTTAGACGCTGAGCAGGCAGCTTGACACTTCTGCATCAATTTATAGGATTCTTGTCCTGACACCGTCACGCAAATTGGGCTGCTGTGGATTCCAATGTACTTACTTGCATGCACAAGGAAACAGGATCACATTAGTCAACATAATTTTGTCTTCATTCTCATGAATGGAAAAACTTCCTCAAATCTCATCTTCCCAATCTCCCAACCAGTGCATTTCAAATCAAAATTCCAAGTCTCTACATTGATGAATCATTTTATTTATATTGCAGTAAGACGAGAAGCGCTTGTTCCTTGCCAGAAGTGCTGTATGCTAGGAGCTGTACAAATAGCTCCTGTGCCAGCTGAAGAGTTTTTAATCACATATGCCATTTCCCGAATCCATTTCCATAGTGAACTACAGAAAAAGTGTAAGGGGAATCATATTTCTGACCAACTTTAATTTAGCTTCTTATATAAAAGAGAAAAGTTTATATTTAAAATAAATCAAGTAGACTGACAAAGTAATATTTCATTTTAGAGACAATTATTCTCAAGTGGTTCTCCAATTTCACTTGAATTAAGGAAATCCGGCAATTTATGAACAAAAAACATTAAAACTAGTTATATGATGTATTTCAACCTACTCATAGAGCATATCAAATATATTTTAAGACCATTTTGTGTTTCCTTAGCCCTGCACAAATAGCTAACCTATCTACTGGGAAATCGCATTCTGTAAAAGTCTGGTTTGTTTTTATTGGTCAGGCTAATTATAGGCTAAGTAGTAGCTTCTGTAAATCAAATTTTAATATTGTTCTTTTTGATCATTTTAAGTGAAGGGCCAGCAGCCTCTAATCATATATATAATTGCTTTCCGTATTTTGATGTATTGGAATAGAGCTTTCAGCATGAATTACGTCTGTCACTGACAGCCATTCAGGCCTTCTCAGTTCTCTTATTCCTCTAAAACATGATTTTATGTAAGATCGGTTAAAAAAGTCATTACCCCTTAAGAGTTTCACAAAATATGTAAAATGCCAAACTAATTATTGCTGTTGTCTTTTCTTTTAAAATATCCTAGAAGAACCCGCACAGATTTGAAACAGCTCTCTACATATGAAATTGTAGATTATATTAGGGTCTAGAATATCTGTAAAAAAAAATGCAGCATTTACTTTGTACAGATCTCAAAGTACCATAAGCTACAAGATGTGTTACATCTTTCTTGGGCTTCTCTTCCTTCAGCACCTCAACCCCAGAATTGGCTCTTGATGCACTCGCACATCCACATCTCTGCAGCACTCAGAGGCAGGTGAATAACTTCAACAACTGATCTCTTGAAATTCACTTTGGAGGGCTGGTGGACATTAATGTTAAGCCAGATCTGTTCCCAGGTACATGGCTTTTTGTTTAAATGCATAGGTTGGTGCAAAGGGGGAGGCAGAACAGCAGGAAATAGGGCCACCTCTTTCTCAAGCTGGTCTGAAATGCTCAGGAGCGCTGGAGTGGGCAGTGCCAAGTCTCAGGGAGGATAGGAGGCCTTCCAAATGGGCTGGCTAGGTGGACTTCCAATGGCCACCAAAAACAAGACACACAGAAGGGTGCACAGAAGTGAAATTTATGTTTTCTAATTTCATCACAGGCTTGGTTTCAGTCAGGTCCTATTTTTCACCAATCAATTTGGCATTCTTCATTTTCAGGGTAAATAAGGATGCAAAAGGGAGCTATGTTTATGTACAGTTCACCCGTATTACTGAGCTCACTGTGGCTCCTATTTTACTGTCAAAATTCTGCCATCGATGTAAATTAGAGTTACATATATGACTGAAAAGATGGGCGAGCCAAGCTGGTATTACTGCTTCAGGAAGCTCACATACCAGGAAAAAAAAAAAAAAAAAGCAGGCACACACAGGAGAGCACTTGCAGATAGAGAGAAATTCCTGACACTACTCAGTGAACTTTTCTACAGCAGACTCCTTGCAGTAAGAGCGATGACCCCAGAACACACAGTCTGATTCTGTACTGGTCTAAAGCAAGAGTAACTGAATGGGGAGGAGGAAAGGGGAGGAAATGTATTTATAAAATCCCTGAGGCAGACAAACCCCTAATGCAGGCCATATGCTTGCCTGTAGAGCTAATAGGAAAAGTTCAGCCCAGGTATCTACTGATGTGTGCATTTAATGGTTATTTTTCTCTAGCTCTGTAGACCTCCCAGTTTTGGTACAGCCCCTCCTCTCCATGGCCTTTTCATTTGCAAGGACTGTAGAAACTCTATAAACTTTATACAGTTTCTATAAATTAAATAGAATCTTTTTTTCTCCTTCACACCTACTATTGTATAAAAGTGAAGAAAATCATTCAAGTCTAAAGTTCATATGCTGATGTATACAGTTTACTGAAACTGCACTGGGTTTACTGGGCAGCTAGAGAGCAATAACACCATTATAAAATAATAATTACACACACCATATGGCTGGCCTGCACACAAATCCAATGCATTATACTGGGAAAGGAGGATGCCTGCTGTGAGGGTTGAATTCGAAGATGTAATGCTGGAAGGCAGTAAAAAGTTAAGAACTGCTGTTTTGGTTAAGCTCAGCTCAGGCCTTGATATAAGAGACAAAAATATAAAGAGGAATTTTGGCCACCCCACATGAGCCAGGTCCTCCATGCTCTTCCAATAAGTTCAAACGCAGCAGACTCACAGACATGTCTACAGTTTTGCAGAGGCACAGTATTTATAGCAAAGCACACAGGCTCTGATACAGACTCAATAACTTGCCAAGCAAATCATCCCACATTCATCAGTAGGCAATGGCCACCACAGAATCAGCTCATGTCCTTTATGGCTCTGGAGGCATCAGGGTAGCAGTACAGTATGTACACCCCAGTCATATTGTCAATAAATATTCACAGAGATATGTATTTTGGTTTGTCAGATCTAATGGCAAAGGCAACTCATTTGTCACAGAATAAAACCAAGCTAATTCAAAGACCGCTCGGGCAAATTCAAGGCTAAGTTGATACGAACAAGAGAGTTCACCTGGCTCCCTTGTTGCACCATTTCCGTCCCCACCAGCCTAGAAATTCCTCAGGCATGTGCTGCTAATGCCATTTCTTCCTGCTTCACGTCTCTTCAAAGTCCACTGCTGTTGCAATGCATACAAGAAGCCAATCCCCAGCCTCTACTTTCAACAGCAAATTGGAGATAGCAAATATTGATTTGCTTTTAAATACTATTTATTCTGTTGTTGTAGAACCAGTTATGAATAATCCTCTGAGGTACACCACCATGGGGCTGGGCACATGAAGGAAGTACGATACGTGGAAACTGATTTGAGTGGAACACTTGGCAGTGTGTAATTACACAGCTTCAGAAAATTGCTTGATTTGCATGTACGGATACTACTCCCAAAGCAAAGCAAAAGGCCACTTAAATTTGTTTCTAAAGCTATTAGCATTTCACCCAGGATATCATCAGCAGATGACATTAAAACCTCACAACAGGCCAAGCTAGCTTTTAGATTCGCTTGTTACTTACCTTCAAGACATCTCGTTAACTACTAGTGTTATACCATGCACAAAAGCCAGCTTCCTCATTTCTACCAGAGGTCATAACCTCTACAGATACAAGATCTACGCAAGTTATTAACAACAGGCAAGTTTTCAAGAGGGAAATGGTGGTGTTGGCCACCTAACTGTTTAGGGGGATGCTTTGACCGCCATTGGCTTCAGATGCAATAACTTGCCAATGGCCCACAGATCCAGCTCTTATCCTTTCTGGCTCTGAAGGTATCAGAGTATCTGCCAAAGCCTACCCAGTGTGATGTCTGGCTGAGATCTGCCTCAGTAAATTTCTGTATGCAGAGCATCTGGGACACATGAATCCTTCCATGCCATTCCACCTTTCTTGCTTATATGGATGTGAGTAATTGCGTATGTCATGTTGGCAAATAAGGGACACGACATTAGTTACAATATGCAGCCAGATATTGATATAGGATGTTGATGTTGGATACAGGATGTCGACAGAGCTGGAGAGAGCACAGCTCCTTGTCCAGGAGAGCTTTTACTGTTTGAAGACGACGTGGGACAAAGCTCAGGCAGAAAGAGAGAAGGAGGAAGGCAGACAAAAGACAGTGCACTTGCAAGAAGCAACAAATACTTCATGGAAAGGGTGATTGGAAGTGAGCTGTAACAAAAAAAAACAAAACAAAACAAAACAAAACAAAACAAAACAAAACAAAAACAAAGCAAAATAAAATAAAATAAAAAGTAAAATAAAGTAAAATAAAGTAAAAAGTAAAATAAAGTAAAAAGGGGGGTGAGAAAGGGCAGCTGCTGGGGGACAGCAACTGACAGCAAAACAAATGGAAAGTTGAAAATGAAATGTGTAAAGTAGGGCAGGGAAGAGTGTAATTAAATTTTCTAGTGTTGGCTGGTTCATCCAAACACAGAGGTACTTTAAACACATTGAACTATAAACTTTCCGAGACTCAATCTCCATTATATATTTTTACAAGAGGCTGAAAAAATAGCTTACAAGACAATGTAAGACAACACGTAGGAAACATACTCCTCTCAAGTTTGTATAGTACAGCACAGCTACACTGCCCAGTACATACCCGTTACTTACATGAAAATCTCCATATTTGTAGGAGTGTGAATTTTAATGGCATAATCAAAGTATAAGGAATAATTTTATCCAAATT